ATGGGATGAAACTCAGCTGCGTAACCAGGTACATATCGTATGGAGCTCAGGGAAAGTCATAGGTCGTTTCAAAAGTAGGGTGTGGTTGACGTGCTTATTTGTCATGACTGGCTACATCGCGATTTTCATCCTAATGCTCATTGGTATGCTCTATTATCGTGATTAAAGCTCTTTGACCAATGATGATCAGCTAGGATTGCATATCTACGAGAAGACCGGACCTGTGTCATTGGGCTCAAAAACATTGCATCCATCCCACTCCTAGCCTACGACTTCTTCCTTAACTGCTTCCTAACTGGACTATTTATATGGCCTCTGTGCACACGCCGGTTCTCAACGGGGAAATTAGAACGCCTGGCGAGGAAGACATGCTGGTTAGCTTATCAGGTTACGCGGCCTTTCACCACTGAAACTTTGTAGGGCTGCCGCTGTTGCATTGACCACATCAGTGGTGAACATAATGGTCCTGACTATACTTCATGGTCACCAATTAGGCGAGTAGTCATTTTAGGTGTGTAGGTCCATACTTACGAGACTTGATATCAGGCTGGGTGTGTCTGGCATCCTGTGGCTTAGACGTAAGTTAAACACGTTTATCTTCAGTAAAGCTGTTCAACCTGTGTTGTAGGTTACAATCAATGCTATCGCCATCTTCGCCGTTTCACAAAGCAACGATAACGCCCCCACCTTCTTTGACGGAGAATCACCTGAGGCTCCAACGCCAGCCGAAAAATTAGCATTCGGCAAAAATGGGTCTCAAGCATCCATCTTCAAATTAAAGAGTGCCGTAAGCGAACAAGCGACTCATGGATCCGTCGGAAATACGTCTGGGAGCTCCTACGCTCTCGCTAAAGCCGATTGTTCTAATGCGAGCATTACCTCTGAATATCGTCTTGGTATCAACTTGTTCGATTATCTTCCCAAGGATCAAGTCCCGTCTCCCGAGTGTCAAGAAACGGTTCTCAAATCTGCTGGCGACGTTGCAGCGCATAGCCTTTTCAACGTTGAATCCCACCCAGTCGTGCACAGCCAAGAGAGCCAGAGGACGTGGGCCATTCGGAAGGGAGGTATGGGTGAGGTGTCCACCCACCAGTATCGCAGGGGCTCGCGTGGGCTTCTAGCGGAACTGAGTGAAAGATTTGGCAAGGCATCTCCTGTGGTAGCGATGGCGGAAGACCTTGCGATAGAAGTACGTCTCCTTAATCCCAAAAATATTGATTTTTTTTTTCCAAATTGACGCCATTTACAGATTACCGTCACCACAGAACACACTCCTTTAGATGAGTCTCCTATTGCATCAACACCAATTTAAACAAGAGGAAATATGTCCTCAAATTATTGGGCCGTCCTCGAGCGTTTAACGGCCAATGAATTGGAGTGGAAGATGACGGAAGCCGACATTACCCACAATTCTTCCTTGATACGATAACGTTCGGCCAAGATTGGTCCCTCACAAACATTCTGCATTTCTTTTGATCACGTACATTCTCCCTTTTGCACCATTATAACGTTCTCATACTTCGAAGGTGGAGCAAAGAATACCATCCTCCAAGCCAGCCCGCGCATTTATCGATACCACCTCATTGTTCTTTTGTGTACCACATACACATCCACTCTGATCGACGCCAGATCCACTTGTCGTCTAGATCTGCCATCTTCCATCCTTTTCTGTCGTTGTTTTTTTCTGGAGACGCTGTATTCGTAGATGAGGACTGCATCTCAATATCATGCAGGGCCGTTCGCGCGGCAGGTCACGCATTTATCCTTGCTCGATTGATTTGAGTTGTGTCTCAGCGACCCTGCGCTATAGCATTGAAGAGAAGAACGATGATGTCAAGGTAAGATACACCGAATCTGGGAACCTTTTTTCCCATCTCGAGAAGGCCACCGTGGCTTTGACATGCTGCTTATCTGCGAGCTGGCAACAGTGGCTCCTCGATCCAGGTACTCTGAGCGCATGCCTTTTACTCGCTTCATAGCTCCGTGTCACATAATACGATAATGAACATATCGTAATCCTAGTACTGCTGCAGGGACAGTGTGGACGGTGGACTAATGGCCACTCGGTGATAGTCCATATGCAGCTGATAGATAGATGAAGAGATTGCGATAAGTTGGATGCAGCTTGTGCACAACTCTTGAGCTCTAGACTCGCTAAAAGAGACGGTGCCGGAAGAGTGGTCAGAAATGACAATATGTTGACATAATGCCGTGATTCGAAGGGTTCGTCACCTGAAAGTAATAGATGTCATGTATAGAAAAGGCGCAGGGAGATGAGAAAGGGAGGGCAACTGAGCAAAAAGCGGGAAGGAGCTGGATCGAGCTAACAGGGAGGGAGAAGCTCTCCAAACCATTGGCGAGCCTCTAGGCACTCTCAACTTGGCAGTTGGGCGGTAAAAATCAGATCCGACCAATCATTTACTCCCCCGAGCTAGGGCCACAAGTGGCTGGCTCAGTTGATTAGTCTACTCGCACTCAATTCCTCCCAGCCCTCGAGCGGTATGAACTCGGAGGTTCAGTAACTGGCGTCTGAAATCTTTGATCACTCCTTCTCCACGAGGGTGGATGTAAATGCTTTGGACATTGGTTATCAGGATCCGGTGAGGACGGCGAAAGCAATCTGTCATTAAACGTTTGTGGCAGATTGATACAGGTCATACAGAGGAACAAAACGACGGAACAACTCAAGGAGGTGCTGACTATTTGGTAGCCTCCACAACAGTGTTGCCTTGTGGGGAGCTGCATGCAGCAGCAGGAGGGGGGAAGGACCAACTTGCGTAGCTGCACAGTTTCGCGTCAGCAAAAGCGATAAGTCTAATTCCCTCTTTGACCTGCTCTACAGGAACGAATCAGAAGCCGGAAAGCTGATCAGTGGCAGTGTGAAATCCATGAAAATAATTATCTACCTGCCCCTTTTCTGTTCAGTTCTTTTTCTCTGGAAGACTGTATCTTCTTTGAAGAGCCACGTGCGTAGCGGCCTTTCTTACACCGAGATCAGATTCATGATAATCGATGGTGTCCTCTGCGAGTGGTCAAAGTCAAATGATTAAGCTTTGCAGAGTCAAAACGCAGAACGGGAACGTCTTACCGGTAGACCGAACAGCTGTCCAGGTTTAAGCCTTCATCCTGATCGACAATTGGCTGGTTCTGAATGTGGACGCGGAGGACAGCCGAGATTATCTTCTGTACTTGCTTCATAACGACTCTCTGGCTCCGCTGCCGAGTTTTTGTCTCATCGCTTGCCGCGTCTCTGGTATCGTCATCACCACTTTCTTCGGTCCATGTTCCAACCGGGTTAAATACGCATTCAGGCAGCGGAGGAAATAGTAAACCACACATACAGATGCACACCACAAGATACACCCCAGCCCTGCTTGCACATCGCTTCCCTGAACCCCTTTGATACCATGAGGCCACCTAATCAGCTAATCTCCAACATGCCTACAGTATAAAGGTTTAGTTTGGAGAGGATGGAAGAATGGGGAACTGTCGTTACCTTTACCTGCAAGCAAGTCTGATAGCCTATATCTTCACGTTCTCATTCGGTAAGGGTTAAAACGTCTACCCCCTGTTCCTCTCCGTCCTATCCCTATTCCTTGTGCAGTCAGATTGACAATCTTGCGGCAATCTATGCAGGGACTTGCTAGATTCCCATCGGGCATACTCAACTGTCTCAAGAATAGCGAAACTGAATGTGAGTCTGACGGACCGATCTGCATGCCGAGTCAACTAACCATTCCTTTGTTTCGTGATGCAGCTTTAAGAATGTCTGACAGCGATTCTGATGTCACGGACAATGCCGAACCTCTCTTCGACCATCGCCAAGCTGCTATGCGGACATATATTGGCAAGCGGCTCACCAGCGAGAATTTCGACGACAAACTCTTAGCAAATATCTTTATTTTCTGGCGCGAAGAATGGGCACGACATCTACTCACCTGTATCAAGGCCAGCCACCGTGGTCACGAAGGCATGCGGGCACCTTTCGTTCTAGCTGCAGTCTGTCGTCGATTCAGGCACGTTGCACTGGACACCCCAGCCCTTTGGTCCTTTATCTATATCAACTTTGCCTCCAGAAAGTCAGAATACGTTGCACGTCTCTTCAAGCGTCTTCCTCATATGCTACGCCTTTCCAGGAAAGCGCCCTTGACCATTTGC